TAAATCTGACTTAGCGGAGTATATGGCATGGTGAACAATTAGAAATGAAAAAGAATCTAAAATCCTCTTTCCAACTTCAACTTAGGCATTCTGGAAGGAAAAGGCTAACTCATGGATATAATTATAATACAACTACTAGAGCAAACAAGGAAATTAAACTGATCCTGTGAACTAAAAAGCTGTAGAGGAAACAGCAGTAGAAATATCGCTCGTGTTCAGAACTTGGATTTGCGATAGAAAACCAGAAAAAAATAATGTTGACTGTGGACATAACACATAATTTTTCTATGCCGATATTCTGAGTTCACCTTACCTGTACAGTTGTAACCATTGCCTTCATAGCCCATGTTGCAAGTACAATTATATGAGCCATCAGTATTGGTACAATTTGCATTTCCATCACAAGGATTTGTTTGACATTCATTGATATCTAGAAATATATTACAGATGACGTTGGCAAGGACTCCATTAAGATTCATTTTTATCATCTGTACAATTTTTTTCTTTTTTTTCCGGTAATAAAATATATTATATAAATATTACCAATCTGATTTAGCGGAGTATATGGCATGGCGAACAATTGTTTATGAAAAGAGAATGTAAAATGTTCTATTTTTTTGTAACATAGGCACGTTGGAACGAAGATAAAGACTAATGTTCTAATTATTCAACTATTAGAGCAAACAAGGAAACTAAATAATCCTGAGCTAGATAGCTGTCGGGGAAACAGCAATAGAAATATCGCTTGGGTTCACAGCTTGGATTTGCGATAGAAAAGCAAAAAAAAAATAAGTGTTGACAGTGGACATAACAGATAATTTTGTGTATGCCGATATTCTGTGTTCACCTTACCTGTACAGTTGTAACCATTGCCCTCATAGCCCATGTTACAAGTACAATTATATGAACCATCAGTATTAGTGCAATTTGCATTCACATCACAAGGATTTGTTTGGCATTCATTGATATCTAGAAATATATTACAGATAACGTTCGCAAGGCTTATAATATTAAGTTTGATTTTGATAATCTGTAGAAATCTTTTTCTATACTTTTCCCCAAAACAAAGTATATTTTATGAAATAACTTTTGACAAGCTGCGTATATGACATGGTGAACAATTAGAAATGAAAAAGAATCTAAAATCCTCTTTCCAACTTCAACTTAGGCATTCTGGAAGGAAAAGGCAAAATCATGGGTATAATTATAATACAGCTACTAGAGCAAACAAGGAAATTAAACTCATCCTGTGAACTAAATAGCTGTCGGGGAAATAGCAGTAGAAATATCGCTCGTGTTCACAACTTGGACTTGCGATAGAAAAGTAGAGAAAAATAAATGTTGACTGTGGATATAACACATAATTTTTCTATGCCGATATTCTGAGTTCACCTTACCTGTACAGTTGTGACCATTGCCTTCATAGCCCATGTTACAAGTACAATTATATGAACCATCAGTATTGGTACAATTTGCATTTATATCACAAGGATTTGTTTGACATTCATTGATATCTAGAAATATATTACAGATGACGCTCGCAAGGACTACATTAAGATTCATTTTTATCATGTGTACAATATTTTTGTATTTCCCGGTAATAAAATATATTATATAATCATGAACAATCTGACTTAGCTGAGTATATGGCATGGCGAACAATTGTAAATGAAAAATAATGCAATATCTAGAAATATATTACAGACGACGTTGGCAAGGATTGCATTGAGATTGAATGTGATAATCTGCACAAATATTTTTGTACATTTGTTGATAATAAAATACTTATTAACAAGTTGTTATTAACAAGCTGCGTTTATGGCATTGTGAACCATCGTAAATTAAAAAAGAATATAAAATTGTCGTTCCTTCTTTAAATTGGGCACGTTGGAAAGCAAACACTAATTCATGTACAAATAAGACATCTACTAGAGCAAACAAGGAAATTAGAGTAATCGTGTGAGCTAGGTAGCTGTCGATACAGCGGATAAATATCGTTCGGGTTGAGATCTTGATTTGCGATAGAAAACCAGAGAAAAATAAATTTTAACACTGGATATAACAAATAATTCTTAATATGGTTATATTATTATGGTTATATGGTTATATTCTATGTTTACGTTAGCTGTACGGTTGTAACAATTGCCCTCATTACCCATGTGACAAGTACAATTATTATGCATTACTAATGCAATCTAGATTGTGATTGGCTAAAAACCTACAGATAATTCTCAATGTCTTGCCACCTACACGAAATTGAAAATTATCCGTAGGTGACGTAATTTTTTGCCGCTAGTTTGTTGTCAATAATGGGACAGCTTCCTCTCTAAAAAGGAAATACATAATAAAACAAATATTGAATTCGGTTTTCGCATGATATCAAGAATTATCAAGCCTCAGTTTGCGTTATACGCCTCAGCTTCGCTTCGGCAAATAACGCAAACTTCGGCTTGATACTTCTCGATATCACACTAAACCTCATCCAATAATTGTCAATTATTTCAACCATAAGTATTGTTACATTTGCATTTACATGAGAAGGATTTGTTTGATATTCATTGATATCTAGAAATATATTACAGATGACATTCGCATGGATTATATTGACATTCATTTTCATCATGTGTACAAACCTTTTAGTTTGTTTTTCCCCCATATTAAAACATTGTTTCTACATAAATTGACATCCAAGGTCGTCTATTAAACCTTACCCATGCAGGTGAATCCGTTTTATAAAAAAATTATATACTCTTACCTGTGCGATTATTTTATAATAATTTAATTTGATGAAAACTTAAATTTTTTAGCATATTTCGCATAGGTTTAAATCCGAAATCGTTATCTGCCCATGTGTGGGCAGATGTAAGATCCGTATTTGTTTTTGCATGTCGCATTGTTTTGACATGGAGAATCTGTTTCGCATTCATTTATATTTTAAAATTTTAATTTCATTTCATGACGTTTCTCGTACGTTTGGTTACAACCTAATGCATGTTAATTTTCAGTGCAGTTGAATGAGGTGCAGAATGGAGGTTTGTATTGTTATTTTTAACCATGGTGTCGTACATAAGCCGTAATAAAATTTCCCACAGCTTCGAGTCTTGCAACTTTCTGGCTTGTCATAATCCTTAACCTTTGTTTTGCTAACAAATGGAATTAAATTAAAACTCAGCGTACCTTCACAATTAGTTCCTGTCCCAGTATAGCCTTCCTTGCATGTGCAGAAATAACTTCCTGGTGTGTTTGTACACGTTGCATTATCGTGACAATAACCGCCAACACAACATTCATCCAAATCTGAAAAAGTAAATTGTGAGGTGCGTCAGTCAAGAATCTATTCTTCCTTCTAAACTTGTTTAGGACCGAGTTACGGATTTTGATATGGATCATACCAGGCTTATAATTTCTACACTTATTACTTTCCAAAATACTTAATGATTATTGTTTAACTGTTAAATTTTTATAATATTAATATATATACAGTATATATATATATATATATATTATATATATATATATATATTTTATATATATATATATATATATATATATATATATATATACACCCATTTGCAAAAACGTTGGCCGCAGATAGATAGATAGATAGATACTCGAAGTCTAATTAGAATTGCATATGATTACATTTGCATGGGATTTCTATAATATTGCACAACATATGCAATTCTAATTAGATCTCGAGTATCTATCTATATATCTATCTGCGGCCAACGTTTTTGCAAATGGGTATATATATATATATATATATATATATATATATATATATATATATATATACACTCATTTGCAAAAACGTTGGCCGCAGATAGATAGATAGATAGATACTTGAAGTTTAATTAGAATTGCATATGATTACATTTGCATGGAATTTCTATAATATTACACAACATATGCAATTCTAATTAGATTTCGACTATCTATCTGTATATATATATATATATATATTATAATATTATATATATATATATATATATATATATATATATATATATATATAGTATATTAATAATTTTAATAATATTAAAATATAGCCATACAGGTTACATGTTAAAATATTCAATATAACCAGCGTGGCAGCATTTTCAAACAACTTAGCATCAAATGTGGTAAAACAATTATTGATTGTGGGCTAAGAATAGCCCGCAATGAGGGAAGCCTGATCAGCAACAAAAACATAATACAGGGTGATCAGGCTTCCCTCATTGCGGGCTATTCTTAGCCGACAATCAGGCGCCTCTTAGGCAATGTAATGTATTCCCATTTGTTTTGATTTTTTGTTTTCTATTGGCCCATTTTTATCACGTGTTTTGCCCCCACACAAAACATGTATTCTCCCCTATTCGTTTTCATACAAACTCTCCTGAGGAAGGCCCTCAGGTCGAAACGTCGAGAAGTGTTTTGTCTATTTACGCAGTTGTTATAACACATTTGATGCCATGTTAAAATATTATGTAACTCGATTTATTGGCACGAAACAACACGGCTAAATAGGTACCGGTATACATTTCATCCTAGCTTGCGACCTTTGTATTAGGAGCCTGAACGCTAATAAAATTAATACGGCACCCATTTAAGACGCATTAAATTGACGGTAGTGTAAATGGATTTTTCCGTGTCTATATAACAAATGAGCCTGCCGCAGTTTTTTATACGAAGTTTCACTTGCCTTCAACAACTGTAATTTCTTGTGGCGAATCACTGAGTGAAAATGAATCTTGGAAAGTAGCAGTGCGTCTGTCAAACACATCTATACGTTTCCTTGTGCTATCCATTACATAGAAATTATCTTTCCCTTTTGCAACATTTACTGAACTTGTTTGATCAGGGTAGAACTTGACTTGAGACGTTGAACCATTGAAATAAGTCTTCATAAGGGAATACCTATCGCTAGAATCGATATAATCAATCCAATAAATAACTTCATACTGAGGATCAACTATCAGGTATTTTGGTGATGTGTCGTTATGGTACACAACTTCATTTGTGTCTTTGTCGAGAAAATAACGAACAATGTCTCCTCTGGTGGCGTCAGCCAATACAAGGGAACTAAAAAAGAGAGACATTAATGCAAATTTAAAAGTTATGGTAAAAGGCATGTAAATCCTAGCTATGTGATTATGATAATCACAGTATTTCTTTCTTTTCATTGAAGCATTTTAGTAAATTATGAAATTATAAGCCTATCGGACGAGTTATAGAGCTACTCGCTGAGCAATATATCGATACAGGACACAATATATATATATATATATATATATATATATATATATATATATATATATAATATATTATATATATATATACATATATAGTGTCCTGTATCGATATATTACTCAGCGAGTAGCTCTATAACTCGTCCGATATAGGCTTATAATTTCATAATTTACTGAAATGCTTCAATGAAAAGAAAGAAATACTGTGATTATCATAATCACATGGCTATATATATATATATATATATATATATATATATATATATATATATAACCAACAAGTATTCCCACACTGCTCGGTAGCAAAGACATATAAAAAACAATTGTAACTACCACGGCCAGAAGTAAAACTAAAAGATTTTATTAAAAATATACTATACTTAAATTTTCGGCCACATGCCGCAGCCTTCTTCAGAAATTAACTAACTAATACAAATAAGTCCAATATATAAGGAGAAAAACATGCATAATACATAATACAGATATAGCCTATTGTTGAGAAAAGTCATGAGTGCTATTCAAACCACCCAAATTAGTCAGTAACATTCCTATCCAAAAGTTCTCACACTTTCTTAAGTTTATGTTGATTGATCAAAACAAAGAGGATTTAAGAAAGTGTGAGAACTTTTGGATAGGAATGTTACTGACTAATTTGGGTGGTTTGAATAGCACTCATGACTTTTCTCAACAATAGGCTATATCTGTATTATGTATTATGCATGTTTTTCTCCTTATATATTGGACTTATTTGTATTAGTTAGTTAATTTCTGAAGAAGGCTGCGGCATGTGGCCGAAAATTTAAGTATAGTATATTTTTAATAAAATCTTTTAGTTTTACTTCTGGCCGTGGTAGTTACAATTGTTTTTTATATATATATATATATATATATATATATATATATATATATATATATATATATACACCCATTTGCAAAAACGTTGGCCGCAGATAGATAGATAGATAGATAGATAGATACTCGAAATCTAATTAGAATTGCATATGTTGTGTAATATGATTGAAATCCCATGCAAATGTAATCATATGCAATTCTAATTAGACTTCGAGTATCTATCTATCTATCTATCTGCGGCCAACGTTTTTGCAAATGGGTGTATATATATATATATATACCTAATGAGTTTGGCAAGCCTAACGATATATATATATAAATATATATATATAAATATATATATATATATATATATATATATATATATATATATATATATATATAATATTATACAACAGCACAACGACTATATACAAGAGACGCATAATTAATTAGGTCATGTTACATGTAGGTTATACGTTACTAGGTGTTACTTAGCAAAAACTTCTTTCGATGCCGGCATGTGGAAACAAGTTCATTACGCTTGTTCAAAGAGCTTAATTCAGGATGGCATATGACTATAGATCCTCGGATAGGCATAAATTACAGCGTTTAGTTTTGTTGCAGTACGGTTGTGATTTCTTAATGATTTTCCAACTGATAGTGTACGGTGTATTAGAGTCCTTTAATTTCCAAATATGTTTGCTTAACTCGGCGGCGTTTTTCTTTGATTTTTTGCGGAAAGAGCAAGTATGGTTGAGGTAGCGTGTCTTACACGTGTTCTCAGTAAGGCCAACGTAGGTTTGGGGTTTTTTGGTGCTTTAATTCTTCACTGTCGCTTGGTAGACTATAGCTTTTGTTAGGCATTCACCTTGCAGGGGACAGGAATCTTTCGCGCGGCAGTTGCAATTCTTTTCTTTGTCGGTATTGCTGTTGGCTTCATTACGTAGGATAGATTTGTTGTTTGCGGAAAAGTGCTCTGGACGCTTGGCATACAAATGTAACTTAGCTTCAATGTGTTCCGGTTGAATATTTTGTGTAGTGGGTGGTCACGGGGAAAGGAATCGTCTGCGGCTTTTAGAAATTTATGGCCGATGTTAGTTTTTGCATTTGAGGTGTACGGGGGATTATACCAAGTGACATTACAGGATCTGTGGCGGTTTTTTTTGGGTGGGTTGAGGATCATAGTGTAAGTTGTAATTGCAGCCGCTCTCTTTCTTTTTGGCACGGCTGCATGTTTACTTGAATCGAATGCTTGCATGCTCATCTGAGGAGATTTTTGAAAGGTGTTGGTTGATGGCTTCCGGGATTCTGCGTAGGATAGATGGGGGTGATTACTTTGGACCTGCACGTACTGCGGGACGTTCCCTGGCTTCGTGTACGGTCGATATGTGCCGGTCCTAAGGTCGAAAGTAATGTCCAGGAAGTTGACGCATTTCTTATTGGCCTCGATCGTTAGCTCTAGATTGTTGTCGCTGAATACTTTGCAGATTTCTTTCTTTACTCTTTCAATTTCTCTGGATCGGACGTTGAATGCGCTGAGGCCATCTTCTCGGTAAAGTCCAATGTCCTTTCGGTATGTGGTTGGAAGTTGGGACAACAGGTATCCACCCACCAATTCGCATGTTTCCGCGCCGTCAAAACTGCCAATTGTAAAGGCTGCTTTCCACTTTCGCGTTTTTAGCACGTACGTACACGCACGTAAAAGTTTAAGTGCTTTTAAATTTTTATTATTTAACATCCAGGTCAGAAAATGCATACTAAGCTACGCGGAAAACTAAGTTCTTTCGATTTATTCATTTCGTTTTTTTAAAGATAACTTATATAAGCATTTAGACTTTTACGTGCGTGTACGTGCGTATGAAAAACGCGACAGTGGAAAACAGCCTTAACATGGAAATTCGAGCTTGAGCACATTCTGCACCAAGCTTCACTTTCGCTAAAGAGCAAGGAGTTCTTAGCTTGAATTACAATGTGTCTTTCTTCTTCTGTGACGTTATCACACTCTAAAGCGAATGTAATAGCTTTGTCGTCGCTGTTCTTCCATTGCATGACCCCTGTAGCTGAAACTATGTTCTTGTTGATTCGTTCGAGGATTTATTTGCTTAGAATTCCGATTTCGGATTTCGCGGGGTTGATGAGGCGCGATGATGGGTTGTTATTAAAGTTCGGTTAATGATATTTCAGTGTAATAAAACATTCCTTCTCAGCCACTGTGTCAATTCTGTTGTCTAACATCAGATCTCTCGCGCAAAATTCAATGATTTTGGCAGTGCTGTTTGCTGGCGTTTTTTTGCAGGTTTTGGTGATGTTGTTGCGGAGTAATTGTTTTTAATGGTTCGGGTTTCAGTCGGTAGAAATTTGTTGTCTTGTCTGCGGGTACGAACAGTTCGTTGTCTTTCTTTATTTTCTTGATGTCTTTGTTTAGTTTGGAAGGCGGATGTTGTCGGTTGGAATTCGATGTTCTGGATTACCTTTAGTATTTTATCTTCAAAATCGTTGAGTTCGACAATTGGTGGTGGCGAGTTTGTTGTCTTGAATCCAAATGTTTGTCTCGTGTTTGATGTGTGGGTTGGATGAAGGTAGTGGTATGCTTTCCATCTTAAGCGCTGTAGAAAGGATTGCGTCTTTTCAATTAGGCATCTAAGGTACATGTTCGGTTGTGCTGTTAGGATATTCTTCGTGCAGTAGCCAAGGGTTGATTCCATGTCGACTTTGTTAGAGTGCTCTTTCCGCAATCAATCAAAGAAAAACGCCACCCAGCTAAGCAAACATATTTGGAAATTAAAGGACTCTAATACACCGTACATTATCAGTTGGAAAATCATTAAGAAATCACAACCGTATTGCAACAAAACTAAACGCTGTAATTTATGCCTATATCCGAGAAATCTATATAATCATATGTCATCCTGAGTTAAGCTCTTTGAACAAGCGTAATGAACTTGTTTCCACATGCCGGCATCGAAAGAAGTTTTTGCTAAGTAACACCTAGTAACCTATTACATGAAACATGACTAATTAATTATGCGTCTCTTGTATATAGTCGTTGTGCTGTTGTATAATATTATATTATTTACCTGATGAGTTTGGCAAGCTTAACGCTTGTCATACGAATTATATAATTTGATTTATAAACTCCGTTTTCATATAATTCAAAAATCAAATCAAATTATTCGCGTGCAAAAACCAGTCGAGGCGTAACATAAAACTTCTGAAGTTGTATGAGACGTCTGATGTTATATTTCACGTTAATTAATATTTAAAATAAGTAAATGTTACCATAAGCATATAGTTGAGTGACTTAACTTCCAGAAAAAGGTAAGAACATTGTCGTAGTTTTGCCATTTTTTCACAAAAATATGAGGGTAAACTTTGATTCTTTGAAAATATACGGCCGTTGCGAGTCGCTATGACTACAAATAACAGTGCTTCCACGCCCAGAAAAATATTTTCATACTTCTTTTCTCACATACCACGTACCCTCCAAACCCTCAACCCACACAAATTTTCTATCATGTTCCCATCCCTATGCTTAACTAATTTCGTTCAACTGAGGCGAGGGGTTAATTGCTGCATGCATGTATTTCTAGTTAATTTATCTATTAGCTGATTGCCGACAAGACGCGTAACACTGACTATAAAGTGACGAGCAACAAATTTTGAGCGAGTATATCAAAATTTATAGAATTTTTTATTTATTCACGTGTTAATTATTTGCGCACCTGTTATCTGGATCACTATCCAAGTCGTCAACATTAGCAATATTGGTTGGATTAAGCTCCGCTGTATTTCCAGTATTCAAGTCAATAACATGTATTGATTTGAATAGTCCAGTAACGTAGTAGACCTTTCTTGTTATATGATCTACTGTAAACCTAGAGATGGTCGTGAGAGATGCTATCGTGGTTGCATTACTTCCGTCCAGTTTAACTGTGGTAAGACTGGTGCCATCGTAGTAGAGGAGTCTTTTAGTCCCAGAATCATAATTTAGTTTCACGTCGGTTGCTGATAATATGGTCACAGTCGTGTTACCGTCAGAGAATACGCCTTTGATAGCATCGGTTGTTGCATAGTATATGGCTTCCACTTTGCACGTCAACACTACCCAAATTACAAAAAATAATTATTATAGAGAATACATAGGCAAACCCTCACTGTACTCTTAAAATACCTACAACACTCGCCGTTAAACGTTAAAAAGACTTTAATAACCCATATCTATAATTATTATTCACTATAATTTGTATACAATCTCTGCTTTGATATGTTAGCCATCTAGAAATAATTATGACGTCAAATTTGCAAATTATTATAACTCCCAGTATTTGTAACTATGACTATGTAATTTTGGCGTCAAATTTACAAATAATTTCTGGCATTCTGTAATTATTAAGTCATAACTACAAATAATAGTTTCTAAAATCAATATTAAATCAATAAATAAGAAAATAATCACTGAATAAAATAGTTTTACCGTATAAAGGCAAGCCCCCCAGGTTAACGGGATTCAGGGCTAGGCAGAATAAATTACCAAACTTTGAAAATTGTAATCGCATTGGCAGATTATTTTAAAATATTTTGAATTTAAAATTAAGTCTTTTAATTCATTCTGCCTAATCCTAGATCCGATTAAATCTCAATCTCACGCTCAATCTCGTCCAATAATTTTCTCATAAAATTATGCATTTTACATTATTCCGAGGATACCCCTAGATCACATGACAGCTGAACATCGGCCCTTATGACAGCTAAACCCTTGCGATTACCTTCACAAAAGAAGCCATCACCACTGTAGTTTGCTTTGCAAGCGCAGTAGAAAGATCCAGGAACGTTTGTGCAAGTTGCATTTGTATGACAGGAAGCATTTCGTTCACATTCGTTGATATCTATATTCGATATAATTGTACAAATTTACGAAATGATCCCCTTGAATAAATAAATCCCATTAAATTAACCTGTATTTCTCTCTTGAAGAAATAAAAAAAGATTGAAGCAGATATGACTGTGTAGCTAGTTAATGGATTTAGCATTTTAACATCGTATAATTATCATACACAATGCGGACGTTTATAAAGTGGTCTGTAACATCAATCTTTGTAATGTGTTCTAAAACTTTGATGCAATTGAAAAATGTTCAAAATATGACCACCCTAGAACTTGCCTGTGCAATTTGTTCCACTCCCTTCAAACCCAGATAAACACTCGCACGTGTAAGAACCATTAGTGTTCATACAATTCGTATTGAAACCACATGGATTACCCTCCGCACATTCATCGATGTCTGTCGAAATTTAAAATGATGAAGTTAAATTAGGTTGATATGAATGGCAATACATCCTTCTTCCCCCCAATCAATTTTTTCGTATTTAAGACATTAATAATGCTATTATCTAAATATTTAATTTAACGTTATTGATAATTTTTACTTACTATATATATAATTCCACAGTAAAGGGAGTTCTAGGCTAGGGATGTATCCCGATGGAAAACCTGTGAGTTTGTAACGTGCCCAATGATATCATTTAAATTTTACTATTGCGAATTTGATATTTTCTGTCAAAGCGTCACTTTTTGAACTGCACATGCATTATAGGTGTAAAAACAACCTATTTTCCGTTAGAACTGCTCACTTCGGAAAATAGGCGGCGCGCTAAGATTTCTGGGTGTCCAAATATTGCAACAATATGAAGCTTCGAGCAGTGACAAACTGACACTGACTGGCGATCTCTTTTTGCATTCTAACCTTATATCACAAATCATTATGACGAAAATGACGAAAAAATTATGTTAATATTATCTAATTATAGGGAAACGTCGCTTGAACATGTACGAGACGTACAAATCGAGACGATTTGCATCAATTGCGACAGACATACAGTCATGATTATACAGTGCCAAACCAAATTTATCTCTATCAGGGCTTACTGCACGCTAATTTAATTCAGATCAGTGCCTGTGATACTTTAAAAGGTATAATGGTACTCTATTATACTACATCGAGTACATTAACGTGACTGACCGCATTTCGTACACATGTAAAATTATTTAGGTGTAAGTTGACGCTATAGCATTGAAATCTTCAACAAGATGATTACATAAAGATACACATAAAATTAAAGTAATTCCAAAAAATGAAAGCATAATACATTTTATTCTGTATATTTCGAATCAAGAAATCTGCTTTCATTTTTCGGAATTACTTTAATTCTATACGTGCTAAAACTATCAGCTGGTAAAGGATAAAAATACACCTTTAGCAAGTAAATTTACAATGATTTTGCTGTTTATACCCGAGTGTTTACTTTGCACCAAGTGCACCAGATTTAGGTATATTGACATACTTTGGTATTTGATTCAGATTCAGGTATGTTGAGTAATCATACAACAACTTATGTGTAGATTTTCACTGTTCGAGTGTAAACATATCTACCCTTATGAAAATTTCACATAATGATTTCATATATGAAATGTTTCATATATGAAACCTTATGTGGAATTGAAACACTTCATATATGAAAATTTCACATGTGAAATTGTTTCACATAATTTATATGATTTTTATCCAAGAATATTTCATACATGAGATGATTTCAAATATGAAATGTTTCACATATGAAATAGTTAGAAGATAATAAAATGGCTGCATGAGTGAATTTCAATGTATGGATTGAAAATTTATTGGATTAAAACTTAAGAGGTTCTTTATGATAAAAATTTAAATACAAAAGATAACCATTTTAAATACATAGACATATCAACCTGTAAAATTTAAAAAAAAACAATTTAGCTATAACATTTCAAGAACAACACTTATCAAGTTCATTTTTATTTTTCTTTGCATGCCATTTTTCATGATTTCATCCTTTATCTGTTTGCACATAGCATTCCTTTTCACTATCTTCTTTGCTCTGCTCTGCCTGTCTGCCTCACCCATTCTAATAAAAAGTATAAATATATCAGTTTATTCAAATGCACTCATGTTATCTCACTTTCATTATTATAAATTAATTTCATCATACAAGGATATAATACTACACAAAACTTTATCGCATTTTTATCCATAAAAATGTGGGTACAAAATCTCTTTTTTTTAGGCACATGTTAGGTTGATTTTGTCTATTTTGTTACAAGGTATAAAGTTTAATCTCCAATTGACAAATTTAGTGACCTTTTAATAAATGTTTGGACAGGGTTTTAAACAATATTTGAATTTAATGATACAGATGAATCATATGGTGTTTTTGAATATCGTGTTGATTATCATGTTGAATGTTGTGTTGAATGTGGTGTTGAATGTGGTGCATACTTCACAGTAGTGATTAAGTTGTTTGTCTTTATTTTACTTGTCAGATGATTCCTGGTCTGTTTCAAAATCGATGAATGCCAACAGTATATTTGTCTATTTTTATTCATTTTTGGCTCTGTCCATCTCAACCAAAGCAGGTAGTGTTGGCGTGAGGCGTCAACTAATAGCAGAAAAAAGAATTGCATTACTTTTCTTCTCAACATTATTTTGCAATAACAGTACTCTGGTCAGTTCATATTGACCAAATCTTAATTTTCAGCTAATTGAGAACCACAAAATTTTAAAAATCTTATTCCACTGATTGTTAATCGGTTAATCCATTGGTTAATCCTGGTCCTGGAGATTGATGACTGTATGTAATGTAAATAATTTCAAGTCAGTCTGAGTCAGACTCAGACAAGACAGTCATATATATGTCACATAAGGAAAATTGAACAATATAAATTCCCTCCTATTTTCATATTACTGTTATATAAAAAAGAAATAAGATTATAAGAGTAATCAATATAAATTGAACAAATTGCCCGTGATTCATCTGCGATTATCGTGATTTTGAGCGACGAGTTATAAGAGCGAATATATATAAAGATTAGCACAAACAATATTAATTAAATACCTGACTAACTTCTTTAATTAAAACCATTCTTTGCTAGACCACATGAACACATCATCAGCACAGAATGCTTCTTAATCCACAGATTTATATCCATATTTCGACTATTCCATACGGATGTATATTAAATGTTTGATACAGCCAGCAGAACGTTTGACTGTTTGAGACGTGTTGTAATATGAGATGTTCTTCCGAAGCACAGACCGTTTAGAAGCAATACCGATTATACCGATCGAGCACTCACCGGGTAGCAACGGACTGAGGGTCCATAGCATAGCTATGGCTAAGGCAAATCTGTGCCCATAGTAATGATAGTATCCGAAAATGTGTTTGTTTTTTCATGGCATTAATCCAAAATTAGCATTTTGATCCGTTATAATTTGCATTACATAAAGTAGCTCACGCACTCATAATTAAAAAATTTCAACTCCTATTTCATATGTGAAATGTTATGTGAAATTTTTGTAAAGGGTAACACTGAATTTGTTTCAGTGTTACCCTTTACAAACAAGGGAAACACTAAGTTTGTTTAGGCATAGACAGCCCAGACATGTTTTCGTTCTCCTGGCGCAAACATGTCTGGGCTGCCTATGGTTTAGGTAGAGTATTTCTCTTTTTACACCAAGAAAGTGTTATAGGAATGCTTGCATGGTGTATGCATAGCACACTCTTCATAACACTTCGGACAATGCAATTCCGGATTTTTAATGAAATAACCAAGTTTTTAGTTGTACTGATATGCTCTCGTATATCCCAAGGTTTACCTGTACAGCTAGCGCCGTTTCCAGAATAACCTTTTTGGCAGGTACATACATATGAGCCATCTTTATTAGTACAATTTGCATTTCCATCACAAGGATTTGTTTGACATTCATTGATATCTATAGGGAGATACTGAATGATTTTAGTGCAAGAAGCCATTTTTAATAATCAATCATATAAATATGTCTCCGTAAAAACAATATAATCGCACAGGCCGAGGGAAGTTCTTTCCACATTGTGCATGAAATGTTAACTACATAATTGTACAAAAGGCAATGCACCTAGCTTATAATTATATACCTGTACAATTTGTTCCATTTCCTGTATATCCAGTCTTGCACTCACACTCATAAGAACCAACAATGTTGGTGCAATTTGCATTGTAACCACAAGGGGATGACTGACATTCATCTATGTCTGAAAAAAAAAAATTCTTTAAATCATGCAGTTTTTGCGATACCTTGTAATTACACATTGTATATATTCATTGAAACGAGATAATTTTTTGCCTATCCTGCATATGTAAATAGCTCTGCATCAAGTAGCAAATATGCTGCTGTCTTTAAACGTCAAGAAGTGCATTGTTTTGCCTTACTTTAATCGGAAAGTGGTAAAAACATGGCAATAACCTTACCCGTACATCAAAACCTTTAATAAATCATGTGAATAAAGTCTTACCGGTACAATTTATTCCACTTCCTTCAAATCCAGTTTGGCATTCACACATAAACGAGCCATTGGTGTTTGTGCAGTTGGAATTAAAACCACATGGATCCATTTCACATTCATTGATATCTGAGAAACAATGTATCACAAGATGTAGAAAATGCAGGCATTTCAGCAGTTACTTATTAACTTAACGCTACTTTTCACATTAAAAGTGGCTTCTGCGATAATGAAACCGTTTTGAATTGTTTTGCCTCTATCACCCTTTCCCCCCTACCAATGTCTCTTTTTCTATTTTACTTCTATTCGCTTTTCATCATGTTTCACTGTTTGTATAGTTCGAGCGTCGATCTCTTCGCTTACATCTTTGGACTATTCTTATACCGAAACGGCGTCTCTAGTAATAGTATCCTGATTTGCTTTTAAAAGATTATTGGATGAGGTTTTTGTGCAGTATGCAGAGTTATCATGGTCGAGGTAAGCGTTATCAGCCGAGCCGAAGGCGAAGATCTTGATAACTTACCGAGACCTTGATAACTTTGCATACTGCACAAAAACCTCATCCAATAATTAACTAATTAAAAACCACGTGTTAATTGCTCTATGAGGGAAGATAATTACAAATAATATAGAATGTATAATAATAATAATGTATCACTTAGAATATAACTCATTAATAATGCATAAGCATTTAAGCCTCTGATTTGAACCATAAGAAGGTCACGCGAGGTGGGCTGATAGATGGTAAAGCATTATATATTTTAATTAAGATGACACGTCATATAATTTGCCACGCTCATTAGTATTCTTTATACAATGTTTCGTCCTAATAAGCATTTGTATACAACACATGGAGCAAATTTATTGCTCGACAACAATGTGGCGTATAAATATGATAAAACGTTCTTTTCGTGTTTTAAATATACATACTACAGAGTAAATTATCGAGTTATATCGCGTTGTAAAGTATTGTATTTCATCCTGTCTGAAAATAGTTTGAAATAAAGTCGAAAATTTACAATCTCAACCTGTGTCTTGTTTGATTCATATTTTGACTCACAAGATATCCCGCTTATTCGGAATTTGTTTTTTACTTTACTTTTCGGCTGGTTTATGACTAAAATGGTGGCTGAATAATTACTGAATGCACCCCGGGACATGTCGCAGTGCTCGGACGCTTTCGTCCAATTCGATAATGCTTTCCTCTGCTTTCTAAAGAACGAAGCTATGCTATTGGTTGAAACAGAAATGTATTGTAAAGTTCAGCCAATGAAAATCATTCTTGCGAGGAGCTGCGACCCTACCCTGGGGCGAATGTACGTATAAAGGCCGGCGTACACTAGAGCAATGCGGTTGGCAAAAAGCAGATAGCTTTCATTTAGACGCACACGGAAAGATTTCGGCACGCGAGGCGGAGATTATCAAACATCAGTAGATATTTGTCGTAAGTGGCGCGAATAACCAAAGTCGCCCGATTATCAGTGATAATCTAAGATGCGTATACGTGACAACCCTAAATTTTAAAAACGGTACGGGGGAATTTGCTGACAGAGAGAAAAGCTCAAGAGATTATTTAAAAACGCATCAAAAGGTAGAAAGGTCACCGCAACCTCTTTGAGATTTTTGTAAAGTCTGCCCTTTTCTATATAACATTTGCCAGCATTGGTTTTTTATCAAGTTTTAAAATGATTTACCTGAACAAATTGTGCCATTGCCTTCGTATCCCACATGACAAGTGCAGTCATACGAACCATCGTTATTGGTGCAATTTGCATTAACATCGCAAGGGTTTGCCAGACATTCATTAATATCTGTAAAATATTAATATCTGCTTTAATATAGCTTGGGCGCATATAAACGTGCGCAAGTGCGCTTGGGCAGTGCGCTCTCATTGGCTGGCGTCAAATGTAATCGGAATCGGATTTAGAAAATCGCAATTGTTAGCCAATCAGTGTTGACTATCCGACAAAAAATAAACAATTGTTGGCCCAGGACGTAATGAAATGTTGCACTAATATGGAGACGTATAAATCCGAGCCACAATTACGTCCTCTACACCCGCGAGGGCTTTGTTACGTACGCGCCTTGTTTTTATGAAGTGGGTGGTAATGGAGAATCGCCTTTATCCTCTAGACGTGTCAGCGCGCGTGCAGGATAGTTTTGGAAGGCCATTTAACTATATGTCGAACATAATAAATATTTTTGTGATAGTGAATGCCACTTAGCAGGTGGTCGCGACTTCCATCTAAGGGTTTAATTTAATGCGAAAATAATTGCAAATTACTTTCTGTTTTCATACGACTCAGTGCAATAAGAATACCATTTTTCTTGTTTTTTAAAATTTTCGGCTTGGTTTAGAAATATGGGTGTTCAGGAATCATGTGAATAATTGTTGAAGAAGAATACACTGAACTTGCGCATAAGCTTTTTAAAGAAAAAAAGTGGCAATGAACGGCATACCTGAAAATGCCTACTAGTAAATGGAAAATATTAATTGATAACCAGATCTTACCTGTACAATTTGTTCCATTTCCTTCATACCCGGATATACATTCACAAAGGTACGAACCACCAGTGTTTGTACAGTTTGCGTTGAAACCACATGGGTTAGCCAAACATTCATCAATATCTTTAAAAAGGAAAAAAGGACGAAATTATTAATCGCTTACTTTAAATATTACTCTACTAAATCTATTTTTCAGCCTACACGCCATTAATCAAACGATGTCAGATAGTCCAGTCCTGGAATTATACGAATTTATCTGGATAATAACTGATTATTGACCGAGCGTGAGGTGTGATTAGCCTTGGTCTGATATTTCATAGTACAGATCGAACAAGCGAGGGCAATAATCTGTTTATTATATGGCTGAACCGCATGAGACATCCGGGATATTGGTTCAAATACGGAATATACGGACCACGGTCCGGATATGGGTCTTTACGCACCGCTTGTCAACCAATCAGAATAGAGGACTTAGAAAAGCCATATAATATAACCTGTTATACAGAAATTGATATCATCAAAATTGCCAAGCAAGTCTGTTAGATTTTCATTAATCACTGGTCTTAAGGTAACGCCAGTGTTCGGACGACTTGAAAAGTAGTTTGTTTTCATTCAGGAACAGCTTTTAGATGTTGATGTCTTGATCACTTCACTCATGAAAATGCTCTAACCACAAGTTCCGTAATACGTAGTTACAATTTCATTTCAATAATCCTAATTATTTCTCTTGTTTGCAAGTATTTACGAACCAGCAATTACATATGTTAGTCACAGGTGTGGATGATATTCGGCTGATCATTTTGGTTTATTAATGGCCCTTTTGCATAATAGACCAACTTTTGATTTAGGCAACAAAAAGGAAATTTCCGAAAAATGTACTAAATTTAGTAAAATTGCCAAGTTTGGCTGCAAAATATTGTAAAGTACCGAAAATATAGCCATGCGAGGTTGGCAATTTTGTATACCTTTTTGTATACAAATTTCGGTATGTTCTTTCTAGCTATGGTGATTTATTTCCTTCTTGTTACATAGATCGCAAGTTGATCCATTAATAATCATGCTACATTGCTTCAACGAAGATGAGTCTCAGTGTTGCAATGCTGATTCCATACTCTTGCCTCTGAGCCACAGAGGTTGCTGAACTGTTATTCATTGAAGTTATGACCCTTAATGACCTTTATTCTACATGGAGTGAAGTGTCACATAATCTTAAAAGCCGTAAAGGTGCGGCTGAGTATTATGTTAAATGAATCTCCACAGAAACTGGTGCTATACCTGTACAATTTGTTCCATTTCCCTCATATCCTGTTTGACATTTACAAATGTAAGAACCAAAGGTGTTTGTGCAGTTTGTATTGTATCCACATGGATTATTTAAACACTCATCGATATCTAGGAAGTTTGGACAAAAATGCGATGATTAATTTATAAGAAATAACGAAATCACTTCCGTTCAACTCTAAAAACAACCAATATGTTCCTCATTAATTAAAACGCGGCTGAAAATGTTGTGCTGCTCATGGACTTGAGCGTCAACAAGTAGCATAAACTAGTAGAACTTTAGGCGATTTTTGTAAGGTGTTAACAACCGTGCGTAAGGGTGCATGCAACTGACTCATTTTTGTTACCGAAAACAACCTTATATTGAAATCAGGGTAAGGTAAGTCATAGTGATCATGTAGTTCTAATCCTTGCTGCAATTTTGGAAATTTCAAAAAATTAAGACTTGTCGTCTAATGGAAACTCATATAGAGAATTCTTGTAAAAATAGGCTGGATAGAATTTCCATTATAATCGGTATTGTCTGGTGCATTCCAACTTCCACTTTCTGTATACCTTGGCAATATGTTTGATTTCCAGTGAATCCAGTGTCACATGAACATACAATGGTGCCAGGAGAGTTCGTACATGTCGAGTTTGCAGGACAGGAATTATTCAAAGCACAATGGTCTTTATCTAAAGGAAAAAAACAATTCAGGTCCTGTTTACATGAGCCCAGTTACCCAAGTTGAGCAAAACGAAAGATAAAGGTTATTAAAATAAGTCCATTTATGAAACCAAACAAGCGCATGAAAACTTCCATGATTGCATGGTTATTTTAGAGCCTAAAAACCATCTCAGGCTTCGTTTTGGAAACGCAATTTGCTGAAAATTTGGAAATCACCTAAAATATTATAATTTTATTCCTCTAGATATACCTACTCGTCACGCAAACGCCATTTTCAATCACAAATAGTTGCACGTAAATGAAAAATTATAGAATTTTAAATTGGAACGGGCAAATAGCTGCTAATTTCCGAAACAACGTGAGCTAGAGGTAAGCGAAACTCGTTATCAGTTAAAAGACAAAAATACTTGCAAAAGCGCGTGCAAAATCATATACTATCATTCTATCAAAATTAGTCGAAAAAGAACTCAAAAGAATATATATGGAGTGAATTTCTGCGGGAACTTACCAGATACAACAATAATTCTTGTTGCTTCAGTTGAAAGTGAAATCGTAGTAGCCAATGTATCTGTCGATTTATTATATTTATCAATTTCTGATGTTGTTTTTTTATCGAGAATATAAAAATATCCATTTCCAACTGCAATGTCCACTGTTGTAATACTTCCTGATTGATCTGTTCCTATCTGTGTAGTCTGACCATCGTACGTTGTTTTTAATATCTTGTAATCTTCCTCAGCAGTAAATAGAATCCAATATACGGTTTTATTCACGGTATCGAGCGCAAGATGAGTGCCTATTCCAGGAACACCAGAGTGAAGAGTTTGATCAGTTCCATCAGCGAGACTGTACCGGATGAGATTTCGACTGTTCGTAAGATCAGTGGTGAAAAATATTGATCTAGGTTGAAAAAATTTTGACATCAAATTATTTGATATTGATGCATTTATGATCCAGTTATGTGATCATTGTTACGCAGCTCTAAAATTGCTACCTACATACATACACACATATTATATAAGACGCACTAACGTATTTATATTATTATATCATAATTATATAAGACGCACTAGTCTCATCAGCATAGTTGTTTTTCATAAGGGGCGTGTTAAAAGATAGATAATCGTTACATAAAAATACAAAAAATTACAAGCGGACAGGATATATACAAAAAACAATTATTAGTAAATATCATCAACGAATAAAATCAGCTTCATCTCGCCGTAGATTTTATAATTCTCTTAGAGAAATGAACCTAATCAGCGTTTTTTGTATCAATAGGCAAATTATTCCAATGAATAGCTCCATTATATTGGAAATTTCTTTTAAGAAATTCCCTCTTTGGTTGTAGTAGTATTAATGAAGTCAGTTTCACGACTCCTAAGATCATAAGGGGAATCACCTTCATTAAAAATCATAGAAATAACTGTTTTAACTATTTTATACATGTAAGTAGATTTAGAATAATTGCATCTATATATATATATATCTATATATATATATTGCAAATTGGTATTGAATATTTATAATGCCGAAGATCCTAGAACGTGGAAGTCTATATGTTTGTCTTGTAACGTGTCTCGTAACCTGTCTCGTTCGACTTCATCTTGCTTAATCTCCTGTAAACGTGTCTTGGTTTTGTCTTCTGTGTTGTATTATTGTCAAGGGCCGCTGTAATTGACGTAAGCTGTAGCGTATACACTATCATGTAATTGTCGATCATTTGTGCTTAATATTGTACTGTATAAGTTTGTGTGTATCTTACAAAGCATACAAAATAAATGAATATATAAGTAAATAAATAAACGTCCTGACTGATTAAGAGATTTTATATTGAGAACGTCAGCACATTAGGTCAATGTTTTCTTATTTTAAAGATTCAATTTTTAACCATTACTCAAGTAACTATTACTTTAACAATTGCTCGGAATAAATAGTTATATTAAATTGAAAATGAAATTTAATTTACCTGTCATGGGTGTCGATTTGCAAATCCCTGAAATCATTGTCTGGTGATACACCAATATCTGGTAAGTCGTTCCCATCATAGTCAAGCAATTTAAGGTTAAAATCAGACTTCGTGAGATAATAGACACTTTGATTCGCTGCATCAACAGCAAAGGGACCGAAATTTGATGGAACCGAAACATTTTTCAAATCACTCCCATCCAAATTTGAGTTGTACAGTTTCTCACCGTCCTTATAATACCAAAGACGGTAGTTAAGTTTGTCGTAAGAAAGGGTCGCGCTTGGTGTCTTCACCAAGGCTTTAGATTCTCCACCATCAATAGAAACATAGGAAATGTGAGTGGCGTTTGAATAGAAGATGTATTCAATTTCCTCTCCATTGTTTCCTATAAAAAGTTAATTTTATGCATCATTTCAAAGAAAATTGGGGCAAACTGGAAAAGTACAGGTTTATCCGATTTCCTTATCTAGCGTTTGAATTACATTCGACGCCACCAAAATGCGACGTATAACTTGGCAAACAGCAGAATATATCAGTTTCGGTAACGTGTAAGTTTAGCAAACAGAAAAGCAATTCCTTGTAGGCAAAGCATCTTTTAACCTGTAGGCAAACTTTGCCGATTATAATAACTGCAGCAACAATGCTTTATTATACGCCCAAGGTTTAAACATTTGTTTTGCGTGAAATAGAAGTGCGTTTTTATTGCTTTGGTTATTCGAAGGCTTAATCAAATCAGGCAGCGGTGTTTCTAGATTTCGCAGTGATATTGCATTATAATATCACTGGTAGCAATTATTTGATGAGGCTGAGCATGATGTCAAGAATTATTAAGACCGAGGTCAAAGTTATCTGCCGAAGTGAATGTTTATTATACAGTTTAATTTTTCCTCGCTTAATGTGGCGAGTCTACTCAACGCCATACGTTATGATTTGGTTTTGTAATTCTAAATTCTTAACGTTGCATTGCATTCATTAAAAACATAAATTGGGAATAATATATTCGCCTATAAGTTGTTAGTATGAGTATTTTTCGCATACATGTCAGACCCTTTCTAGCTCAGAATTTAGCCTGATATTTGGTCACGAATATTCAAATCACGTCGTAAAATTTCTCTCTGCAATATTTTTTTTCCAATGAAGCGTGAAAGCTTGTATTTTTCATTCATCTTTGGAAATTTGAAGCCCGTTTTACACAATATAAACGTTTCTGTGTTCACAGTTGAAAATTTAAATTGGTCAATCTCAAGTTCTTAATGTTTTGCAGAGAGTATCAAGGCTCAAATTGTTGTCACGTATAATCGCGTGCTCGATTTTGTTAGGATTTTATAACAACCCTGGGCTGAAACTCAGTCCGCGCTGAAAACACTGGATGCAATCAGCCCCTAAATGTTTTGCATGTTTTGAATATCAGGATTATTATTTAACTCAGTGTTAACCACTGTTTTAGTTCCTTTGAATATTTCTACCAAATACTTTCAAACTTGGGGCATTTTTCCACTGTCCTGTTTTTTGTACGTACTTATGCGCACGTGAAAGTTTAAAATAACTTAAATGATACTTAATATGAAACAAGCGATTAAATAGCTAGAGATGCCTATGTTGGCATTATAATAAACTATATATACCGCAACTTAAAAAGTTTTAGGCTCTACGTGCGTGCAAAAAACGCGACAGTGAAAAGCAACCCTTTGGATCTGTCGTTAAAAAATGCCAACTGCATGCATGTGATAACAGAAAACTTGACATTGTAAACTGTGTCTTAAGCCACGATTTTTATTCTGTAATGGCAAAATGAAACACTGATTTCATAAACAACACTGAATTATTGAAGAAAAAGAAATATTGCAGAACTGTGTGCAGTGACGTGCAATAGACTTGCGATATAGATGTAGCTACATCGACTAATATGTATAATTGTATTGTACGTTACCTTCTACTGGAGACAATTGCCAAAGAGTGACGATGAGTAGGGTGAAAACCCCAACACCGCGCATATCTAAAAAAAACAGGGGATATATTTATATTTGTCATCACTCTCTTGCATTAAATGGCAATTGCTTGCTGGCACAATACTGTCTTCTGCAATATGTTTTGCGAAATATTAAGGTAAAAATATTACTCGTAAATGGTCGTACCGTAACTAGACCACTTAATAGACACTAAGAGGTACTACTTCACACAAGTTTCAATCCATGAAAAATGAGGTTAATTTTTCCTACATTTTTTTCCACATTGCATTGAAATTTATTGTTTGACAGTCGCGTGACGTAAGCACCTCTAAGGTCTATTGGGGAGGTTTATATTCATATATTTTTGTTAACATATGATAGGAACAATAACGTGCAAAGGGAATAAGTCCGGCATAAGACGAATGTATGAATATGCCTCCCCCACAATTAAGCTTTTACAATCTTGGCCAGAAGTTGATTGGACTGCATGTGCAGACTAGCACTATTTCTCATAAGGTGATAACAATCCTCCCCCTTCTCCTTTGTAATGTTGGTCTCTAGTAATGCTTTAATACATTATTGTCATTAATGGACGACTTGCGACTTCTTTATTTCTTTCCTTTTTTGTTCTTTCGTTGTCTCGAGCTTCTTTGTGTCTATTAATGACTTTCTTCCGCGTTATCACTGGGATCTTTCCTTTTACAATTCCATTAAATAATAGTTCTGATGGTGGTACACCTGTGGTACAAAACGGGGTTGTCCGATATTGAAGGAGAAAACGATATAAGTCATATAACTCTTGTTTCCATGGTCGTCCTTCTAGCTTTGCTGTCTTTAATCCCTTTCCCAACGGTTGCATGAATCTTTTTAAGGTGTCGTTCCCTTGAGGCCAATAAGGGGTTGAGAACTTGGTTTGAATGCCAATGATTTTCATATATCGTGCATATTTGTTTCCATTGTAGTGATGTCCATTGTCAGATATGATTGTATCTGGTATTCCATGGACAGAGAAAATCTTGTCCAGTTTCGGAGTTACAGTTGAAGCTCGTATCGAATGAACAATCTCTACTTCCGGGAATCTTGAGTATCTATTCACTGCGACTAAGAGATATTCCGACGTAGGTCTAGGTCTAGGAAAGTCTACGTGTACGACACTCCCTGGTAATTCTGGCATTTCTGTCATGCGAAGAGGTTCCGGGTGTTTTGGTCTACCTGCAGCCTTGCATGCTACGCACTGATCGATTGTGTCCATTACTCGATTATCAATTTGGGGAAACCATATTTTCTCGCGAATTAGTGATTTCTTCTTTTCAATGTCTAAGTGCGTCTCGTGTGCAATGTCTATTGCCCGTTGTTGCAAAGTAGCAGAGACAACAATTCGCGTTCCTCTCAATGTTATGTCTTGTGTGGCGGTTATCAATTCATTCTTCACTGTTTTGAATCGTTTGATTACGTTTTGATTACGTCAAGCAATTCTTTTAATGCCTCGTCAGCATTAGTTGTATCAAGTATTTCCTTTAAGGTCATTGCCTTAGGAACACTGTTTTGAGTTACGAAATTGATGTACGGTTCTGTCATCTTCTCCCGTTTTTGCTACTTTCGTTAATTGGATGACGAGAAAGATAATCCACTGGATTATTTGCACCTGATTTATGTATTATCTTGAACGCATGATTGGAGACGAAGAACCCATCTTTCGATACGTGCCGATGTTTTAGCTGTCCGCTGTCTATATACTGTATAATTTCTAAACGTTTATGGTCTGTTTACTAATGTAAATTCACTACCAAATAAAAATAGATGAATTGTTCAACTGCCCAAAATATCGCTAACGCCTCTTTTTCTATTTGAGAATGTCTTTTCTCAGTATCGGTCAACGTGTTGAAAGATTTTATTTTCTATTTACGCGAGGTTGTAGATCTTTACAATAGGTTAACTAATGTTCTTAATTTTCTTTCCTTGGTCTTCTCTTGCTCTCGAATCTTCGTTGCTTTCTGTCCTTTCGGATTCTCGTTGTTTTCTGCCCTTTCTTTCGTCGTTGGTTCAGTAATGTTGAGCTTCTCTAACGTTTCATATGGTTTTTACTCCGCTAGTCCACTGAAGGTTCGGGTGTTGTGCACGTCCTTTTATAGTTGAGGGAACGGTTGAGAGAGACTTGCACACGTCATCAACCAGAGTGAGCTGATCTTTATCCAACCAATCAGCGTTGTAAGTTAGAAATGTGGGTTGGTCTTAGAAGCTCGCTTCAACTCTTATATCTTGTTTGTTAAAGGCGTTGTCGTACTAGCCGAGTTGGTCTTCTGCTCAATCGATTAATACTTAAAAATGTTCACAACTTAAAATATTTACTATCAACAAGTAGTAAAATTTACAAATAATACCTCTGTGAACAATATCTTTCAACTTAAACTATTTTCACTCTTATTTTATCGAATTGACTTTTGTTGACGTAATCTGTTACATGCATGACCGTGCAACATTTTTAACACAATTGATTGACATAAGAACTTGAATTGCCTACAGCACGCACGTTTTGTTTAAAAAATGCGAGAATTGAGATAAGTGACAATTAAGACTGTAAATACTTTCACCTTATTACTCATTTAATCCCACGATATGTCATACATGAAAGGGAAAAGCGATTAATGATGGCGAATGGGCCAAAATTTTATTTACTCGTCTTGTACGTGGCGTCTGGTTGCAAAACTGAATCATGTAACTAATCCCGGTCATGCAGTTGATATTCCTATTATTACAGCTATTTTTATATGTATAAACACAATAAAGCCTTGTGTAACAAAAGCTTGCCTGGCGTACGCAATGATCTGCTGGTTGTTACTGTCACCGTTTTGGGTTTTTTTGGACAAAATCGCCGAAACTCCAACTGGGATTGCATTAACGACCATAAATGTCTCCATCGTTTTGTCGATGTATGCCATACATGGCGCAGTGGTGAGTGTGTTCTTTAGCTTTTTAAATGCTGTTTAGTGTTTTGCGTCCACTCAAATCCAGCGTCTTTTCTTGACAGTTCACGCAGTGGAGCGGTCAGGGTTGCAAAATCTCTAATGTATTTACTAGAATAGTTAGCCATACCAAGAAGGCTTCTGGTTTCATGCGCATTAGTTGGCTGAGGTGCGTTTAGTAAATCACCAACTCTCTTAGGATCAGGGCTCGTTCCTTCCTCCGAGAAAATTTGTCCGAAGAATGACAATGTGTTTCTTAAGAAATCGCACTTGCTTTGGATTAGTCCCAAACCTTTTTTTTGCAAGGCGTTGCAGACATCTATCATGATTGGCGTCGTGCTCGGCCCTTGTCGACCCAAAGACAATGATATTGTCCGTTATGTTTTTTACGCCTTCAAGTCCTTGAAGTGCAGTTTGGAGAGTGCAATTGGAATATTTCCGCGGCAGGGTTTCTACCGTAGCCGAGTCTCTTGTATCGATATAATCCTACGTGCGTGCTGAATGTGTATCGAAAGAATTTAGCTCCGTTTAAGGCGAAACTCACGTCATTAACTGTCGGTATCGGATGACGTACTCGTCTTATAGCCTCGTTTGCGAGTCTCATATCAACACCTATTCTAGCCTGCCCGTCTTTTTGGGAACTGCCACAATGGGAGAAACCCATAGTGTTGCTTTGTTTTTCGGAACTTTCTCATTTATATCTTTTTTTTAAGCTCGGTTAGCGCGTTTTTCACTTTTTCTCTAATATGTTATGTCGTTGTGAATGGCGTATGTGAATGATTTGAAAATCTCTCGCATTTGAGGTCCGGCGTGGTGAAGTAACAATGCTCGTTTTCTAGTTGGATCCGTAATGCCACTTGCCCTTAAGCACTTACTAAAGCCAGTCGGATGCACTGCATATAGACAGCCCCATCTGATTTTAATCATACCACACTTAAAACAGGAGGGGAACTTAATTTAACTAGATTTGAGCAGGTTTGGAACAAATGAAATTATCACCATAAGTTCATTACCTTGCCTAATTAGAAGAAAGAAACCAAAAGCCAGCCTATAACAATGTTTGTCCATGAATTCCTCGCCCAAATTTGAATCCCTTTACACCCATATTAAATTAATGTGACAGTTCAACAACCTTAGGGTTTGTTGTATTGTTGACAGTTGAAATGTCATATATACAACAAAGTGAAGACTTGTCAACATGTTCGGAAAACAAATAGCTAGTGACAAACCAAGTGCTGTTTTTTTAACAAAAGGCCATGGTAAGTGCTGGATAAACAAGCTAAATTAACATTGTTATACGTAGGCCTTTGATTTCTTTCTTCTAAAGAATTGTTAGGGTAATGCCATTAGGCATTAAAATGGTAGTGCAGGGGAGGAAGGGTTTCAGTGTTTTTCAGTTTATACTAGAGCTAGAACTGAGTGCTAGCTTCTCCAAACTACTCTCAATAATAGTAGTAATACTAGGTTTCGTTTTATAAAACTTACTTTTTATCAGCTTTAATCACAGAAGATATGATGCCCGTGACTACACAAAAAGATGGTTCAGTTTGTAACGTTTTTCATGGCTGTGGACATGTATTCATTTTATAATTCGATCGTATTGAATGACCTCTGCCACTTAATTGTCTTGTATTCCAATGCGGGTGTAAAACCAACACAACAATATCATAAATTGACTGTTTTTTACGCATAAAAGTGATATCGAATGACACAACTTGCTTAATATATTTATAGAATGAGATATTATTTTATCAGTAAAATATCACTCTTTCTGTTTACATGTTTCTCATTCCGGGTTTTAAAGATTCCGGAGATTCTCGTTCCGAGTTTTAAAGATTCCGGAGATTCTCATTCCAGGTTTTAAAGATTCCGGAGATTCTTGTTCCGGGTTTTAAAGATTCCGGATATTCACATTCCGGGTTTTAAAGATTCCGGAGTTTCTCATTCCGGGTTTTAAAGATTCCGGACATTCTCATTCCGGGTTTTAAAGATTTCAGAGATTCTGATTCCGGGTTTCAAAGATTCCGGAGATTCTAATTCCGGGTTTTAAAGATTGCAGAGATTCTGATTCCGGGGTTTTAAATTCCGGAGATTCTGATTACGGGTTTTAAAGATTCCGGATATTCTTTCCGGTTCCCTGTTCCTGGTTCCCCATTCCTGGTTTTAAAGATAGCTCGAAAGTGAAATATTTATGACTTTTTTTTTCGTCGACGGAATTTTTCCCGTAAGCAAACTGGTAATTGCATATCTTCCATGGCGCTCAACGGGCCTACCTCGGTAACTCAGCCTTACCCCTTTCCGCTCGCTCGACTATTATCTGGAACTCAGAATTCAATTCTCAGAAAAACAAACATGTTTATTTGTTATTAGCCGTATCCATTGCAGACTACACGCATCATTTATTATAATCGGCATCCTCCCCCCGCAGAGGTGAACAATGTCAATGTTGATTCATTTGTACATTTTAATTTGCAAATATTCATTTTGTTTGGGCATAAATGAAATATTTCAACGATTTTTGAACAAACTTTAAAGTAATTATTTTGATAATATATTAGGCTTTAGAATATGGTAGGTACCTTATTCTGCTTTTAAATTTTCCCCTGCGTCAGTTGAGTTTTATCAAGCAGGAAGACTTTACGTCATGCAGCTCGTCATGCACGCTCTCACTGAGAAAGAGAGTCATAATAAATTTATACATTTCGACCGTTTGAGTCAAAAGAACGAACCCTGAATCAGAGTACAATTATTAACTGTAATTGATGAGCATTCGGCAATTCAAATTTCCTAATTCCTTTACTAAACAAGACGCAGTAATAATCGTTTTAAAAAACCGACGCGGATTCCCTACTGGTAGTGCTAATTGTTATTTAGTTAAGTGCTAAGCTTTTAAATGAAACCTCAAAATATATTTGGTTGCCATAATATTAAAAAAGATTTTAGTAATATAATTATAAATATTAAAATCAAAATTATAACTTCCACTGCGACTATGAGTACGAAATTTATCATTCCTGCCAAATCCGGTTCTGTTTAGTTCGAAGTTTATCGAAGTTGATCAACAAACTTGTTCAAAAGACGTACGTACTTCTATTCGCATTTCTAGTCATCGATTCTAGTCGTCGATTCTAGTCATCGACAAAAATTTTTACCAATTTCCGTTCATACCGTTGATGCAATATTCGGTCCGATTTTTTTCTTTTGAAATCGCAATCTAGCGAGTATAATTTAAGATGCTCTTAAATGCACACGCCCCTGTAAATTTCCGTGACTTTTTTACTCGTTTACACCGATCAAAAAGGGAAAATTTCGAAAAGATTGCGAGTGTAAACGAGCAATTAGCTTTTATACACATTACTGGCAATTCAGAGTAGTATAAATGTTTTCGTTCTGTTCTGTTTATGTCACAATAACAATTAATGCGAGTGAACCGTACACGCAATATAATATACTAAGTTATCTATTTGGAGCATTAAACTCGTGCTGGTTTCGTTTAAAAAGGAGGTTACAGACCTCTAACTAATTGGTTATGATACAAGCAGTTTGAAAAATGACCTACCTTTCTAATTTCTTTTATCGCTGTTTTTAATCTTTGATTCAAGTAAAACACTGCACAGCAAAATGAAGACTGCACACGTACTTATTCATTTTATTGACTATTGTGCACGTATATCGAAAGCAAGAATCCCCTGCTGGTTCATTTTATTGTTTGCATGGTATCCATGGCAAAATATAAACATGTTGTGATTTCAAATTTCTAAAAATACCCCATCTATATAATTATATATTTATACGTAATTATGGTCGATTACTGGCTTTCGCCTGGCGCCTGCGTTTTTAAAGTTGCTTGCCATATTGCATCTTCTAATGGCTGCTGTGATCTGGTTACGAAGGTAAATAGTGATCTTGAAAATATACATAAATGGATGATACAAAACAAACTTCAGATCCATCCCAATAAAACCAAACATATGTTCATTGGATCTTCCCAAAATCTCAAGAATAAAGTATGTAGTAATCCTATTTTAATTGCATGATAATAAACATGCAAGTACCGAAATATTTAGGCCTCGGCGTGAGCCTGGAAGAAAGATTGTCCTGGTGTAAGCATATCGAATCTATTTGTTCCAAGGTTAGTGCCGGCATTGGTGCAATCCTTTATCCTTAATTAACCTTTTGTGCCATTGTCGACTGCAGAAATGTTATATATGCAATGCTATAATACAGCCATATTTCGATTATTGCATGCAGTCCGACTTTGCGCGACTGATCTTAAAAATATAGGTTGTAAAAATACCAAAATCGTGCGGCAAGGGTAATTGCTGGGGCAACTTAACGATACTCGCTCTTTTGAATTACTCGAGAACCTAAATTGGAAATCTCTGGATGAAAGAAGAAACAATCTTAAAGCCACTTTTATTTATAAAATTCTGAATGGTCACAGCGCTCCCAATGTAAATGAAATATCTCGATTTAACAATGAAAGAAGTAATACATACAATCTCAGAAATAGGAATGCTGATTTAGCATGCAGTACGAATGCCTAAAAAATAATTTGGCAAAAGGTGCTTTAGATATAATATGGCGCCTTGCATTAAAATAAATAAATCTTCCTCAAGAAGAAAAAACTGCGGAGTCTATAATCTCCTTTAAAACAATTTTGAGACAAAAAAGTTGAAACAGGCATGCTATCAACTGACTTGCAAATTAAAATTCTTAAAATAGTTTTTTTGTATGCCACATTTCTTTTGTAAACTTTCCCCTTCCTTATGGAAATCAGCCCATGCAATCGGGTTGTCTAGGCTAGCGTGATTAAATAAATTGTATTGTTGTATTATGGTATTCCAAACATTTAAATTTCGCTTTGTTGCAACTCTAATAATCAATACTATCTTAGTCTGTTTAATTGACTGACAAATATCATATAAATCTCGTTATAACATGCAGCCTCGTTCAACAAAATCGAACCAGGGCTGCCAGATTTCTAAATAAATTAGCCAAATATTATTACAATGCATAATCCTTGCATGTTTTCTCTTAAAGATGTCTGCCTTTTTTATGCAATTATCTGACAAACCTGACCCGAACGAAAATCGGGTTCCTGAATAAAGAATTTGAGAGAAGAAGCTATTCCAAAGTGAGTTTGTTAACATTCACTGGTGGAATCGAATGACGAATGGTGGCGAAGAGAATCAACTTAATTTGCTTACTAGGAAGTTTACAATTCATAGCGAAGCAATGCAGCTCGATGACGCAGTTGCAAAACAAAGAAGCTGGTATGCATAACTCGTGGTTTAATAACAGCGTTGTGATTCTTACGACGCCTTCAAATGAGGCATTTTCAGGGCCTCTCGATGACCTGAAAGTAGCGAGAGCGTGATAGCTGTTTGATAGCTTATATGAAACTGCGATATAGCACAATATTTTTGTTAATTTTTTTCGAATTTTTTAATTTTAATTTTTTTAAATTTACAATTAAAACATTTGTATAATTATTTCAAACTGCTAGCAGCGTAATTAATTTCCCGCAGCTTATTTCTGGCAAAATATCATGAGTGACTATTATATTTATAGGGACGTCGAGCTAACGCGTCGTAGATCGCAAACTGTCTAGTGTTGAAACGACGACGGTTATGTGGGGGTGGTGCTGATATTCATATTTTAATTCATTTTTAGCAATGATCAGTACCTTTTGAAATTCAAATTGAAATTGATTGTTTTTACGGTCTGCTAACATTGAATATATAGGATCTTTCGCAGTCATCAGATACACTTCAGACATAAACATATACATACATCACTTTATTTTCACACGTTAGCCCCACTGAACTTTAATAAGAGTTGAATAATACAAAAGTTGAGAATAGCATATAATATTAGTAAAGTAAAGTAAAGATAAATATGAAGAATTTGACATGCACGTTAATTATCTTACACTACAAGTTACATGAAAGGCTCGCGAAACAACGCTTCAGGTGGCTAACTGAAGTAGCTTTTTTGACTTCTGTCGGAAGACTATTCCACAGGATTGACGCATTGTAATTCAAACTCCGTTCTCAAAAAATTGGTCTTTGGTTTAATTTGGTAATTAAAATCGGTGTCACAATTTCGCAGATGATAGTATCGCTCTAAATCTCGGAGTCTTACAAAATTATCAGTCAGGCACGAAGCCGAAAACCTATTGAGGACCTTGTACAATAGAAAACTCTTCAATTTAGCACGTCTGACATTGAGAGTGTCCAAATTGGTTCGATTTATATTATAGACGGATATACACGCGATATACATTCTCCAGACGACCTATAGCTATGTAGACAAATATGGTAGTTTTCGTAGTTCGTCCTAAACCCGTATTTCATACTAACAGACGGATGTTGCGTCAAGGCGAGCTACCCATTCAACTATGTGGATAACTCGTGGTGTGCATGTTTACATACATACGAATTAGAAGACGAACTATCTTTCACTTGCCCAAGTTCGTCCATACGGATTATTCGTCTCAAGTATAAATCGGGCCATTTAGAGCTTACCTTACTGCTAGCAATAATTATATATAGCACTGGATTGCTGATATATAACCACTAGATAAACGATCGACTATTCATTCTTTTCAAAAGTTATTTTTTATTATTTTGTAAATGAATTGCCATCCTCCTATGAGACAGTCGTATGCAAACCATGCACTCGAAGAATTGCTGGTTGGGTCAAACTGTACGCGGGGGCGATTCGATTTATCAGCTGTGAATTTTTTAAAATCGGTCAGGATTAAGAACAAACATGCCTTGTTCTAAAAGCAGTGCTTAAAACATGTGTTTTCGGAAACAGAACTTTCAACGACGAAAAGTAAATATTGTATACGTCATTCATTTTAAGTAAGTCCATGTTTACGTTAAATTAGGCAAATTAAGCAATCTGATTGGCTGAGGAATGTTTCACAGAACACTCTATTCGAGCTAGAGGTATGGTCGGCGTTATATGGTTGGTCGCCTTCGTTGTCTTTTTCCTGGCCTTAGTGAGGTTGATCTTCAACGTGATGCCCGATTTAATGATAACACGGTACATTGTCGCATTTTACCTTCACTGACGTCGTATTCCTCGTCATGATTCTGTTGCGAATGTTGCATGTTAGGGCCCTGTTACACGGTGCAATTTTTCCTGCAACATGCAATGTAATTCTTCTTTTCAGAGATATAAATTTGGAAACTACCAAACTTTTGTCTTTATTACACTCCATGACTCTTCACTAATTTAAATCTCTTAAAAGTAGACTTGCATCGCAAGATGCAAGAAAAATTGCACCGTTTAACATGGCCTTTAGCAACAATCACAATATCCATAATTCGTCAACTGCCTCTTTAAACTTTTCATTGACGAACGGAAGCCTTTACTTCGAAAATAATATACGACAGGATCGATGATTGTGTTTAAAAGTATCAAGGGTGCAGTAAAACAAAATGCACGATAAAACACAACAGGATCTTTCTCTTTGTCGATAGTTACAGTTACAATTGTTGTTGGCAACCAACATGCCCCAAAACTTCCAGCGATCATAAACAACGAACGTAGTGATCTAAACTCATGTGAGGCCGCCTGCAGTTCACCGGTGACAGCAAACGCCTGTTGAGCAATGCGTTTGGCGTGTTTCCTGCCCAAATCGTACATGTACACGCTCAATACAATGGATGACACAATGTAAAATGCAATGATAAACCGAGTTATTTTTAATTCGGGTATCAATCGCTTTGAGAACAAGCTCACTATAGCCTGGACAAACACAATGATGGCGACCAACCATATAACGCCGACCATAGCTCTAGCTCGAACGTAGGTAACAATTCTTGGATACTGTAAAGGTTTTATTGTTGAGATTGAACGGTTCAATGTCAAAAGGAAAATACTTCCGGATGTCGATAAGATAAAAACGCTACTTGCTGGAAAAAAGACGTCAAGTGCGGAGTGATATATCGTGTAGATGGAAAGAGGAGCGATTGCACAGCCTATCAAGGCATCTGCCACAGCTAGACTCAATACAAATAGATTCGCTGGGTTATCAGATAAGCCGTCAGTGAGCAAAATTGACACGATCAAGAGGATATTTAACACGAATCCGAAAAATCCAAATATTACAATAACAGCAGCAAGGCAGATAGTTTCTTCTTCACTTAAGTATTCGGAAAACATTTGATTTGGCATGAAACTGGTGAAATATGTTCAAAATATTTTTAAAGTTTGTCACCTGTAGATATTCCTCCTCTTTCGTGCATGAGAATTCAGTCACATGTTGAACTCTCGGCTTCCCGGCGATATTTATGGACAATTATCGCTTAAGACGCTAATTTATCGTTTGGACAAAATTAGATTCAAGCGCTCTTCTAAATGGGATTCAGCTGCATTCTCTTTTGGATTTTCAATTTTTTTTTGCTGCAGGCTAGTTCACATAGGAAATATTGCGGCTACAAATAGCCACCCGAGAAGAAAAAAAAACAATCAAAATATTGAAGTTGTAAAGATAAGACGTAGTGTATCAATAATTTCAATGAAATGTCACCATTGAAAATTTATGCTTAAATTTGGAACTTATTGCTAGAAATTTCTTGCCCTTAATCGTTTGAGCAAGACATCAAAACGAGTAAGATATTTATAGGCA